TAATATGCCCATATGTACCTACAGCCTCAATTCACCCCAATAAACTTATAGAATGACTCCCTTTCTGTACCAAAGAATAAGTCATTTATCAATCTGTGCTGGATGGGTGATGCCTACAAAATGGTTTAGTTTTCTCTGAACTTGAAGGGTCATAGCCAGGTTCAGTCACTCATCCTCGATAAACTAATTGAGAGCCAAATTAATAGTAGAAAACATAAAAGGAGATTTATTCAGTGTTGCCACGTTGGGATGAAGGACAGAGAGATCTAAGTCCATCTTCAGGGTCCTGGTGAAAATGAGGCCAGATATATGCTGTGTGCCCCGCAGAGGCTGCAGAGATGATTCAGCAGTTAAATACACTGGCTGCTCCTGCAAAGGACCTGGGTTTGGTTCCTACCACCCACATGGCAGCTAACAACCACCTGTAACTTCAGTTCCAGGGGATCCAATGCACTCTTCTGACCTCCACAGACATTGCATAACATGGGTACACTTACATACACGTGGGCAATATATTCATACACATAAAATAAAATAAAAATAATAAATAAAAAGACAGTCCTGGTCAAGGTGTGGTTCCCGACACCTTGTTGGGGCTTCAGTCTCATCCTGTAAGGTGATCTGACAAGTTGTTAGAACTGTGTGAAATCTTTCACCCTCTGGCTGGTGCCTTTTCCTTCTCAGCATGGCATCCTGGGGAAATTCCCACTTCTTTGGGATCTACTGTTTCAACAGTCTGATGGTCAGATTGAGAGACACAAGTTTCATTAGAATATCTTCATTTCTGTCAGTCTGCTGGGGGTGGGGACTACAGTTATTCTTCTCCCTCAAAATGGAATCAAAAGTTGCTTTTTTCTTTTTATCTTTTTTTTGGGGGGGGTCTTTTTTGAGACAGGGTCTCCCTGTAGTCCCCAGATGACCTGAAACTTACTATGTAGACCATGCTGGCTTCTTCCTCTGCCTCCCAAATGCTGGGATTAAAGGCATGCACCACCATGCCCAGCTCAAAAGCTGCTTTTAAAATGAAGTATCCTAGAGCAATATGCAGTCTGAAAAATCAGTTTTGAGTTTATTTTTATGTGTATGAATGCTTTGCTTGTGTGTATGTAACTACACTATGTGTGTGCAAAGGCCTACAGAGGTCAGAAGAGGGCTTCAGGTCTCCTGAAGCTAGAGTTACAGGTGATTGTTAGCCTCCATGTAGGTGCTGGGAACTGAACCTGGGTCCTCTGCAAGAGCAGCCTAGCCAGTGCTCTTATCCACTGAACCATCTCTCCAGCTCCTGAAAAAACACTGTTTTATATAACATGGAGTAACTGAGTAGCACTTAGCCTGATCTCAACACTGTCCATGTAGGCAAACTTAACAGCAAATTTTGTTTATTATGCTAGAATTCTCAACTCTCAGCTGTATATTGAGTTGATGGGGTCAGAGTCTGGGCTCTGACAATCCTAATATGCTACGTTGGTCACTCATTCTCAATAGGCCAGTTAACAAAAAGGTAATAGTGAGAAGCAGAGAAAGGAGGTTTATTTGATCTGGCCATATTGGAAGAGACATAGAGTTTCAATGACCTCCAAGTCCATCTTCCAGGTAGTGACAGAGTATGTTTAAATAGAGGGCAACAGATATGTATAACTAAGCAGTACTGGTCAAGGTATAGTCCTGCCTATCATTGACCCATCTTGGATCCTGGTCTGTCTCACAAGATGATTTGACAAATTGTCAAAACTGTGTGAAATTATAATGGAATTTTATAATATTTGATGTAGTAAAGTAGAGGTGTCTAGGGGTGTGGATTCATTCCAAGAAATGGACAAAGACTTGACCATCTAGGAAAGAAAGAAGTTTGAAATTCAGAGAAAGTGACAGTAAAGGTTTTTATTGGGCAGAAACTGGACAGCTCCCTTTGGGTGAAAAGGGGATCCCAGAATTGGGAATAATGGAATGATACTTGGATCTTCCCTTTTTTATCTGTTCCTGGGGTGATACTTCAGACCCTCTCCATATTTTCAGATTAGTTTTTTTAAACAAAGAAGATGCTGACATACCCCCAACTTCATTTAGACCAGATGTCCAGGGCTATGTGACTCTGAGCCCATCGCCACAGATCAGTTGAATGGGGTTATATTGTGCTTTAAAAAATAAAACCTTCCTGCTACAGACCTGATTCAAGATCAACTTAACTCCTTTCCTTGGTGGTCCTTCAAATTAGGAGGGTCTTGGGGCTGTAGGGATGGCTCAGCAGTTAAGAGCATTGGCTGTTCTTACAGAGGACCTGGGTCTTCACAGCACCCACATGGTGGCTAACAACTGTCCATAACTTCAGTTCCAGGGGAATTCTAATGCCTTTTCTGACCTCTGTGGGCATTACATGACACGGGTGCACTTACACACACGTAGGCAGTACACTCATACATACACAAAATTAAAAAAAAAAAAAAACAGGCATGGTGGCACAAACCTGTAGTCCCAGCATTTGGGAGGCAGAGGCAGGCAGATCTCTGTGAGTTCAAAGCCAGCTGGGGCCAAAGGGAGACCCTGTTTCAAAAAGACCATAAACAAACAAAAAAATTAAAAATAAATAAAAACACATATACACTTAAAACTGCTGGCCTTGAACTCTCAGAGCTCCTCCTGCCTCTCCCTCTTGAGTGCTAGGATTAAAGGCGTGTGCCACCAACCACCCAGCTTGCACAATGTATCTTTAGTCTCCCCATCAAGGAAATAATTCTGTAGATAAGAAAAAGGAGTATGACAGCATATCTTTTCACTAATAAACCTAACTGCTGGCAAATAGCTTCAGTACCTCCAAATCACAAATATCGTTGCTCTACTGAGGCACATCTCAGTGATACTTGGTTGTCTTTAAGGCCATCTTGTTTTACTGTTTAATCAATAACTTCCTAACTTTGGTTCACTTTGACTCATTTTGAAATCCTTTTCTTTCAAAAAAGTATTTATGTTTAAAAAAAAATATTTTGGCCAGGTGTGGTGGCCACGCCTTTAATCCCAGCACTCTGGAGGCAGAAGCAGGCAGATCTCTGTGAGTTCAAGGCCAGCCTGTTCTACATAGTGAGTTCCAGGACAGCTGGGGCTACAGGGAGACCCTGTCTCAAAAAGACCAAAAAAATTTTTTATTATTTTTATTTTATGTATATGAGTGTGTTCTCTGCATCTATGTAAGTGCACCTGTGTCATGCAAATGCCAGTGGAGGTCAGAAGGCGTTAGATCCCCTGGAACTGGAGTTACAGATGGTTGTTAGCTGCCATGTGGGTGCCTAGGTCCTCTGCAACAGCAGCTGGGCTCTTAACCACTGAGCCATCTCCTCAGCCCCTGAAATTCTTTTCTGAGATACACATTTAGAACTAGGCTGCACCTAAGTATGTCCCCTCTCCACAAGTCTCTGAGGGACACTCATCAAGTTGCACTGCAGTGACAGCACAGGAAGCTAAGTAATTTGCTCAGAGTCACTTAAGACACGATATAGCATCCCAATTCTGGTATGGGCCCCTGGATCAATCAATATTCTGTAGCTGGGCTCAGTGGTGCTCACCTTTATTTCCAGCTACTTGGAAGCCCAAACAGGAGATCTATCTGAGCCCAGGAATTCAAAGCCAGGCTGAACAACTATATTAGTCGGGATTCTCTGGAGGAACTGAATCCCTAAAATATACATTTAGAAAGGGGATTTGCCGGGCATGGTGGCTCAAGCCTTTTAATTCCAACACTTCAGAGGCAGAGACAGGCAGATCTCTGTCAAGTTGGCAATCGCACACATCACACACATATCACAGCTCTGCTTCTTCCTCTCCTAGTGACCTGGGGGTCTGGGTATAGTCCACCTGAACCTGTTTCCCATCTGAAAAATGCAAAGTGTGGACCTTGTGAGACTGTTAGCAATGAATGAGTTAACACAGAGACACTACCAAGCAAAGGTCTGGGGCGTTCAGATCATTTTCAGTTCTATCATATGTGATGACCAATCTGTGAGTCAATGCAGTGAGCACCAGGCATGCCATTGTATACAGGAAGAAGCAGGCCCAGAAATTGTGACATTTGGGCCCATAAATGTGGATTTGATGAGCCCAAGGCACTGGAGTAAAAAGTATTTGCCAGACTAGAATGGTTTAAAAAATCGGGGGGGGGGGCGGCGCTGGAGAGATGGCTCAGCGGATAAGAACACTGACTATTCTTGCAGAAGACCCAGGTTCGAATCCCAGGACCCACATGGCAGCTAACAACTGTCCATAATTCCAGTTCCAGGGGATCCGACAGTCTCTTCTGTTCTCTGCAGGCATTGCATGACAGAGGTGCACTTACCTACACGCAGGCAATTACACGCATAAATATAAAATAAAAATAATAAAATATTTAAAAAAAAATTTTATAGCCAGTGTGGTGGTGCTCACCTTTAACGTCAGCACTCGGGAGACAGAGGCAGGTGAATCTCTGTGAGTTCCAGATCAGCTGGGGCTACAGGTAGACTTTATCAAAAACGTTTTAATGAAGAATATACACTGTGTGGCCCATAGAAACAAATCAGTTAAATTCTGAGAGAAGCCCAATGCCTTCAGGGAACAGTACCCTTTTTATATGTAGATAACTAAGGTGGGTTGTTCACTATCTGGTTAGGCAGTAAATTCTAGAACACTATTTGTCCTCCCACAGACTAGCCATTTGAGGTGAGGTACCAGGGGCCATTAGGAATTCGGCTCTGATTGTGTAGGGAATCATCAGGTCAGACTCCAAGCGGTCAAGGTCTGATTGCTGGGGAGTGGGAGGTTTTGCTTTTTTTTACTTTTGGTCTTTTTGTGTCTACAATGAGGTCCTTGGAATATGAATTGAAGCTCAGAGTCAAGCCTCCCTGCTGCCCAGATCCTCTCTGGAGAAAGTCTCAGTAACCATGGCTACGTCCTCCTTGGCAACTGAGACTTCCAGAATCCCGTAGAAACCGGAAGTTGCGTCTGGCATTTCCTACGTCGCCATTGTGGTCATTTCTTTAGCGCCTGTAGGTGTGCGACTGTCGCACATGCAGGCCGGCCGGAGGGAGGTGCTGCCGGCAGGGGCGCAAGGCCGGGGGTGGGGGGCCCGGGGCGCCGGCGGGAGGCGGATCCGTCCGGTCTCACCGCCTGGTTCGGCGTCTGTGTGTCAACGATGCTCGGGGCAGACGCCGCCAGGTGAGCGGCTCCAGCAAGATTGGCGCGGGAATTGCAGGGAGGCGAGTGTCAGCGGAGGGTCCGGTGCACCCCGGCGCTCTGGGCAGGTGAGGCCACGCGAGCGCAGAGCATGCGGATCGGAAAGGCCGCCGGAAAGTGGCCTCATGTCATGTGTGTGCGCCGAGTTCACAGCTAGTTCATCTCCATTCTTGAAAGACACAAGCTCAGAGGAAACTGTCCCCGGGGATTCCTAATTCTGGGGTTTGGAGCCGCCGCACAGCACTAAGGTGCTGATTTTCAAAATATATATGTATTCATCAACCATAAGTTTTCCCCCAACTTTCTGTTAGCTAAGTTAACCACATTCGTTTCCTGAATCTGTGTCCCTGTCATGCACACACACAGTGACACGACTAGGAACCCGGAAATCCTTCAAGAGAAATGATATTTGCTCTGGGTCTTGACAGATGAGTAAGACTTTGTCAAAAGTTGAGAGAAAGAGCCAGGCATGGTGGCACACGCCTTTAATCCCAGCATTTGGGAGGCAGAGGCAGGTGAGATGGATCTTTGTGAGTTCAAGGCCAGCCTGGTCTACATAGTGAGTTCCAGGACAGCTGGGGCTACAGGGAGACCCTGTCTCAAAAAGACCAAAAAAAAAAAAAAAAAAAAAAAAGTTGAGAGAAAGAAGGGGAGGTGGAGGGGAAACAATGTGTGTTTGGTTTTTCTGTTTCTGTTAGTCCCAAACTGTGCATCTCTGCCAGTTGAAGCATCTCGAACCTATAGTCCCAGCACAAGTTTATTCAAAAATTAAACATACTATGTGAATTTCATTTCATACTGTAGAATGTATTAGATGAGAGTTAAATCACTCAGTAATCAGTATTTTCTTTAGCATCCTATGGGACTTTTGCATACTCCCACACTGGAGACCATTGCTGATTTTTTTTGTTGTTGTTTGGTTGGTTTTCAGGTACTTGAGGAGAATGGTGGTTGGGAGTTGGCTGAGACAGGTCTAAGGCTGGGTTGTGAGAGGCTTTGAATGCCAAGCATAAACATTTAGTTTTTATCCTGAAGGTTTGAGACAGGGAGTCATTTGGAGAAAATTAGCTGCAGAGTCTTATCAGCCTTGGATTGAATACGCCAAGACTCTGTTCTCTTCATGTTTCTGTAGATGACACTCCCATCAATTCCTTTCTCGACTGAAAAACAGCTCCTGAACTCTGAAGTACAAGCCATCATTTTCACTGTACCTGCTGTAGTGGGGATCACAGTGACCATGGAGGACAGGGGAACTTTAGGTCTCATCTCCAGGAGTGCTGTGTATCAGAAACAGGAGGGGCACTTGACTGTGAAGAAGGAGCCAGGAAGCCAGACCTGGGGGCAGGGCTGCAGTTTCCAGAAGAACCACCCTCCTGTCTGTGAAATCTTCCGGCTGTACTTCAGACAGTTGTGTTACCATGAGATGTCTGGGCCTCAGGAGGCACTAAGCCGGCTCAGGGAACTCTGCCACTGGTGGCTGATGCCAGAGGTCCATACCAAGGAGCAGATCCTGGAACTACTGGTGCTGGAGCAGTTTCTGAGCATCCTGCCCAGGGAGATCCAGACCTGGGTACAGCTCCATCACCCTGAGACTGGTGAAGAGGCTGTGGCTGTGGTGGAGGATTTCCAGAGATACCTCAGTGGATCCGTAGAGGTAAGCAGTGGAGTCTACATTGTCATCTAGAACCGTTCTCTACACTTGGACTAGCCTGGGAATAAGCATTCTCCATCCCCTATACTTTAGGCTGGTGCTTTTAAGATTCCCCAACCCATTCCATTGATAGGAGTTTTTTTGTACTCCAAGCCATAAACAAAAATAAAAATCCCAGCGAAGCTCAGAATCAGTTTTGTATATGTGTGTGTTCATGTGTGTTTGGGGGACAGGCACAGGCAGGTGTATGTAAATGTGTGTACATCTTTGTGGAGGCCAGAGAACAGTTTCAAGTACTGTTCCTCAATGCTGTCCACCTTGGTTTTTGAGGCAGGGTCTCTCACTGTCTTGAGAATCAATGATTAGGCTAGGTTGGCCAGGTCCAAGTAAATCCACCTCCCCAGTGTTGGACTTGCAGGCACATCCTACTATGCCTGGCTTTTTTAAAAACATGGATCCTGAGGATCTCATGGTAATCATATTTAAGGGGAAAATGTTTTATTAACTGAGCCATCTTCCCAGCCCTGGTTGATTCTTATAAGTGATGATAAATGCTCTTCAGTATGGTAGCTCTGAGTTTGGGCAGAAGACAGAACGTAACCACAATGTGATAGCACAACCTTATGATTCACTGACAATTAAATCCTGGTACAGTTCTAGTACTTGATCTAGGACTCAGTCACATGGGTTCCTGACCTTCAAGCATCACATTAGCCATTTATCAGCAATAAACCTCATTATAGACATACATCTACTGGTTCTGCTTTGCTGCTTGAACACTGATATACACGGTCACAGGCCACTCAGATTCTTAGAACTCAGATTTTGTAATGTGTCATTATGAATATGTAGATACACACCCAAAGTGTGGTGCCTAAGCAGGAAAGACAGCTGAAGTTATCCTCTGGACTCTGCACACATGTGCATGTGCACCTGCACACACACACACACACACACACACACACGCACGCACGCACGCACGCACGCACGCAAGCACATACACCATAAACACAAACAAGCAAAAGAAAGAAAATCACACACTCACACACACACACACACACACACTCACACACTTGCACACAGAGACTCAAAGAACTATCCAGTAGACAATTTGGTAAGTACAGATCCTAGAAAACCTTCTGGTCCTACCATTAAGGTGGTAAAGTATCCACTAATGGAGAGAGTGGTTGGGTGTGCTTTAATCCCAGCACTCAGGAGGCAGAGGCAAGTGGAACGCTGAGAGTTCAAGACCATCCTTGTCTATATAGTGAGTTCCAGACCAGCCAGGACTATGTAGTGATACTTTGTTTCAAAAAACAGGACAAAACCAAAAAAACATATAAATATATAAATTAATTAATTAATTAATAAGTAAACAAATGGCAGAGTGCCCTAATATCCCAGCAAATGAAGTAACCAAATAGGGAAAACTCAACATAGTTTATTAAAGGAGTTACTTTTTACCTCATGCAGTACTCTGTATGTGCCAGAGTAACTGAGCTTGTACATGGGCTTTGTTTGGATTTTCTGCTCCTAATGTCTCTAAAAAGAACTATTTTTTTGACAGTAGGTGAAGGTGAGATGTACAGTGGAATCCTCCGAGGTGTTTTCAGTTCTTCGAAACTAAGTGCATCAGGTCTACATAGTGAGTTCCAGGCCAGCTGAAGGTACAGGGAGAACCTGTCTCAAAAAACAAAATAAAACAAAAAAGAATATAAATTAGATTAATGTATTATATAGACAATATAATCAAGTAATTTAAGAGAGTAATCATTCCTGGTTTGTCACTGTGATTAAAGAAGGCTTCTCTGGGGCCGGGCATGGTGGCACACGCCTTTAGTCCCAGCACCTGGGAGGCAGAGGCTGGTGGAGTTCTGTGAGTTCAAGACCAGCCTGATCTACATAGTGAGTCCCAGGACAGCTGGGGCTACAGGGAGAGTCTCAAAAAGACAAAAATAAAAATTTTAAAAAAAGGCTTCTCTGAAGAGGAGACATTTTGTTTTTGTTCCTTTTGAGACATGGTGTTATGTAGTCCAAGCTGGCCTTGAGCTCTTTATCTAACCAAGACTATCCTTGAACTCATCTTCTCTCCTCTATCTCCCAGGTGCTGGGATTATAAGCGTGCTCCACCATGGCCAGAGTGAGGAGACAGTTATGCTGAGGGAAATTAGAAAAGCTGTCTTAAGGTTTGTCAGTCATGGTTCTAGGGCATTGCTTCAGCTGTTACCTTTAGTAGCATTATTTATGCACATACAACTGCACACAGTACTAAGGCCTAATGATTGTACTGGATCGTTCCTGTCATTTCTACATAGTTCTTTTTTTTTTCCTTCAAAAACAGTTGTGTGTGTGTATGTATATGTGTGTGCCACGTGCACATGTGAAGGTTAAAAGACAACTTTCAGGATCCACCATATGGATCCTAAAGATAGAACTCAGGTCCTCAGACTTGGCAGCAGGTACCTTTGCCATGAGCCATCTTATGGGCCTTACATAGATCTTTATAAACAAATTTGTGTTCAGAGACTTGCCCCAGAGTGGAATTGTCTATAGAGTCTGGTCCTCAAGCTCCTACAAAGAGGGTCAACAGAGGGAGGTCAGGGAGCATTACAAGCTTCATATTCTTCCAGTAGGCTTAAGGTAGTGCTGGAAGGACTATCTGGGCCTTCTCTTTTCCCATGCTTTTCTCCTAGAGGTGGCAGTAGAAATTTGTGTTCCCTACTTTCTTTTTTTCTTTTTTTTGTATTTTTAAGACAGGGTCTCTGTTCTAGTTTGTTTCTCAGTTGCTGTGACAAAATACTCTGACCAGTACCAAGTTGAGGGGGAATTGTTTATTTTATCGTACATCTTCCAGGTCACAATTCAATAGGGTAGGAACTCAGGGCAGAAACCTAGAGGCAGGAACTGGAGCACAGGCTGTGGAGGAATGCTGCTTACTGGCTTGCTCCCCTGGCCCCTGCTCAGCCTACTTTCTTATGCAACACAGGCCCACCTGCCCAGGGGTGGCACCACCCATAGTGGGCTAGGCCCTCTCACGTCACTCAGCAATCAAGAAGATGCCCCATAGACATGGCCACAGGCCAGTCCAATAGAGGAAATTCCTCAATTGAGGCTCTCTCAACCCAGGTGTGTCAAGTTGACACTAAAGATATCCAGTACAGTCTCCTTGTAGCCCCAGCTGGCCTGGAACTCTCTATGTAGACCAGGCTAGCCTCAGACTCACAAAGATCCACCACATCTGGCCTGGGTTCCCTACTTTCTTTTGAATTCTGTTTCCTTATCTCTAGGTTTCAGCTCCAGCACAGGAACAGGAAGAACATTTGAAGGAGACAGCAGCTCTGAGTGCGGTTGAACAGTTTCCTACCTCCACACCTAGTCAGGGTTCAGCCCTTGAAGTCCACTTGGAACCTTCTTATCACTCAAGAGCACACTACCTTGCCAATAAGCACTTTGGTAAGCTCCTGTCTCCCCAATTCTGGCCTCAAGTCATTCTTCTCATCTGCTCTCTGGAGTTACCTTCTTTCATCAGCCCATCTTGCACCCCATTGAAATCCCCTATTACCCTTTTAGGTGGCCTCCTTCCTTAGTTTCCATATCTGATCCTTTTATTTATTCTCCAATTGTACATGTATTTACCATGTTTTCCTTAAGTAAATGCCATAGGCTACACACTACTGGGGATCATAAAGATAACAATGTGATTGTCTTAAAGCGTTAATCTAGATGCCAAAGAATCAATCATCCATGTAAAAAGAAGCAACCTCTTAAGTTACATTCAGATGTAGCTGGGTATGGTGACTTATACACCTGCCATCCCAGCACTTAGAAGACAGAGGCAAGAGGATTGGCTGAAAGTTCGAGACCAGCCTGGGCTAAATAGTAAGTTTCAGGCCAGCCTGAGCTTCAGAATAAGACCCTGTGTCAAAGAAAATAAAACAAAATCTACCATGAACAAAGCCTACATATAGGTGATACCTGTTCTCAGTTATGACATGGGCTTGTGGAAGGAGATTATTAGATGAAAGTCTATTGTGAGGTAGAGGAAGTAGTAGGAGATTTTATAGTAAAAATGTGGGGGAGAATTTTGAATGTGAGATAAAAGTAACAAGCAAGTTATGACAGGCTAAAAGCAAAGACTCTAATCTGGGGCTTCTTTGGCTATCATGAAGAAGAGTTATGTCTTTGTGAACTAGAGCCTTATTATATAGGGACTTGGAGGCTGAGGCAAGAATGATTTAGAAGGTTATAAAGTGATACATTAGAAACAGTATCTTAGGATGATTTGCCAGAGAAAAGTGTTGAGGATTGAATCATAGGGAGCTCTGTAGAAGGCTAGTACAGTAAGGCTAGTACAGAAGGCTAGGACTGTTGCCTATTGAGGGTGGGTGGAAGGGGAAAGAGAGATGAGAGAAATGTGAAGGATGAACCCAAGGATGATGAGTTGATGGTTATGGTTAATGATAGTGTCATGGGCAGAACATAGAATTTCAGGAAAGGAAGGCAGTTAAAAACAAAAATTTTAGAAAATGAACTTGGTGTCAAGGAACACACTAGTGAAAAGTTCAATATGCAGCTCTGTGATAGGCATCTTAGCAGTGAGAACTGGGAAATATGGTTAAAGCCATAAGAGTCAGAAGGATCACTGCTGTAAGAAGGAGGAAGCACAGAGCTAGGCTTTCAACAGAGTTCAAGATGAGAAGACAGGAGCCTAAATCAGGCTTGGTTGGTACTAAGGAAGCTGAGGCAGAGAGAATGTGGTCAGATGAGCTTTCCTAGAGAAAGATTGAAGAGAGAGTAAGCCAGAAGAAACTCCGGTTCTCAGTTTAACCGGATACCACTTGCGGTGCTTTCTGAAGAACATTCCCAGCACATAAGGAATGAAGTCTCTAGGAGGAGGGAGGAGGCTAAGAGTCTGAGTGGAGCTATCTGGTGCTGGGAAATGAGCACAGCACAACCTCATTTGGTAATGATTCTCTACCCCAGTAAAAGTCTGCACTCTGTACATCTTATTCACTGTATTCTTTTATTGTTTTGCTTTAACTTTTTATAATGAATATTTCCAAAGATAAAGTAGAACTGTATAATGAACTTCTGTGCTTCATCTAGCTTTAACAATGGTCATTATTCATATTCATATTCTCTCTCTCTCTCTCTCTCTCTCTCTCTCTCTCTCCCCCCCCCCCTCTCTCTCCTCTCTGGGGTCTCCCAGTAGCCCCAGCTGGCCTGCTGGAACTCACTGTGGAAATGAGGCTAAGGCTGGCCTAGAACAGAGATCTGACTGCCTCTGCCTCCCAAGTGCTGGGATCAAAGAAAGATGTACGCAGCCAGGTGTGGTGGCGCACGCCTTTAATCCCAGCACTAGGGAGGCAGAGGCAGGTGGATCTCTGTGACTTCGAGGCCAGCCTGGTCTACATAGTGAGTTCCAGGACATCTGGGGCTACAGGGAGACTCTGTCTCAAAAAGACCAAAAAAAAAAAAAAAAAAAAAGAAAGGTGTACGCCATCATGTCTAGGTCAGTCATTATTCCCTTAGTGATTGACAGTAGGGAGCCAGTTTGAGTTTTCTCAGCTATAAGAAAGAAAGCGTTCCTCGTGGATTGGAAGTAAAGAGCTTTATGCTTTAGCGCTTACAGGAATGGGAACTCAGAACAAAGTAGTCAGACTAGAGCATGAGAAACGGGACTAGGTGGTGTCCCAGGGCAGCCCAAAAGACCCAGCAGCACAAGCACATGAGTTTTATAGCAGCGTTCTAGTGCGACAGATGCAGCTGCTGTCTGGGTGTCTGTTCTCTCTCCTTCACTGCTGTCCATTTTAATTCTGAAACTTCTGTCCCTACCATAGCTCCTCCTCAGTTGTTTTTGTTTCCCTCATTCTTACTACTTGCTGTGGCTCCTTGTGGCTTCATTTGGCTCCATGTATCATTCAGCTTTAGATCTCACTTGTAATTCTGCCCTGTTCCTGGGTTAGAATTTCCCTAGAGAGGGATCCTGACTGGTACAGAGATTAGTATCATCTGTGTTTTGGTGGTCTCTGGCTTATTGTTAATTGACGCTGAAAGTAAACTACAGATAAGTTACATACTTAGGTGATTCTGGTGCCTGGCCACTTGACTCAAAGTGTAGTTTGAGATTTGTGAATATGAAGTTATCTATGCAAAGCCTGGGACTTGTCCTGTGATTGGCAAGCTCAGGACAGTTGCCATCCTAACAGAAGGTGGACATGGAAGTTACTGACCCAGACATTTTAAAGTTTCATTTGCCAAAGGTATGATGGCCTGGCCCTTGTTGCAACATGTTTCAGAAGAATCAACATGTTGGCATTTAATGATAACCATAAGTAGTGCACCTTTTTCAAGTTGTTGCATTCCAGACTCCAAATTTGCAGACTAATATTTAACTGTTTAATTTCCTTATTATTTTAGAGCCAAGATCTCAAAGACATACCTTAATTCACATTTCAGTTTATTGATACATCTTTTAATTCTTAAAGGAACATAGAGCTGTGTTTATCCAGTCCAGTGTTCTAGCTCTGCTATCTGCTTCAACACTGTTCTGAACATGTTCTCATTGACATGCCACAAAGTCTCACCATTTTGTATTCTGTTCTCATCATACTCTCCTAATAGAAATCTCTCATCAACTCACAACCAACTTTGCCCTCTCTTTCCTTTATTCCATCCTTCCTTCCCTCCCTCCCTCCCTCCCTCCCTTCCTTCCTTCCTTTCATTTAACTGTGATATTTACCAACTTTCCCTCTTCCAACATCTTTGTTGTTGTTGTTGTTGTTTTGTTTTCTTTTGTTTTGAGACATGATCTCTCTATGTAGCCCTGGCTGACCTGAAACTCATCATATAGACCAGTCTGGCCTTGAACTTACAGGGATCCACTTGCCTCTGCCTCCCGAGTCCTGAAATTAAAGGCATGTGTCACCATACCCATTCCCTACCATCTTTTTTGAGGTACCTGGAGTTGTACAGTATCATGGTAGAGTGGAACTTGGTTTATCAGTTCACTACATGGACAGTATCACAGTGAGTCTGAAAGATTGCACCATGCTGCACAATCTAGGCTCTTGCTTTCCATTCTTTCCTTCTACATAGGCTGTATTGGCTCATTATTTCTGTCCTCATCTCTCCTTCCCACTCTCCTCCATAAACCATCTTCCCCATCTGTTTTAATTCTTTGAAGAAAAAAAAGGAGCTATTCCCTTTCTTCTCAATGTTTTGTCTCATTCCTTAACCCTACTGTGGTTTTTTTTTTTTTTTCAGCTACAAAGCACAAAATGAATAAAAGGTATTTTCTTGTTTCTTTTGGCCATAGGTAAGAACAGGATGGAAAGTTTTGAGTTGAATCCAAAGCAGGACATTCCTAAAGGATCAGATTCACTTGACATTTCTTCCAGGGGACTCTTTGGAATGGCCCTTATGGGACCAGAAGCTGGAGACATCTGTGAAGATCCTTTAGTACAGGTGGAAGGGCAGCCCACAGATGAAGAAGGGAGTGAATTGGAAAGTGATTTCTTGGAAATGACACAGGAGAATAAGAAAAATTACACAAACGACAGATACAAGGAATATAAGGTTATGGAGGAACATCCATATCTTGGCTCTAGTCCTGTTGAACATCAGGGTGTTCCAAAGAGACAGAAGTTCTATCAATGTGATAAATGTGGCCAAGTGTTTAACCGGAGTTCACACCTCATTGGCCACCAGAGAATTCACACTGGAGAGAAACACTATGAATGTAATCAGTGTGGGAAGACCTTCTGTCAGACATCTCAGCTAATTGTTCATCTCAGAACCCATACAGGGGAAAAACCCTATGAATGTAGTGAGTGTGAGAAGACTTACCATGACAGCTCCCATCTCATTCAGCACCAGAGACTCCATAATGGGGAGGAACCTTTTAAATGCAATGAATGTACAAAAGCTTTTACTCAGAGCTCCCAACTCATTGACCACCAGAGAATCCATACTAGGGAGAAACGTTATGAGTGCAATGAGTGTGGGGAAGCATTCATTCGGAGTAAAAGTCTTATTCGACATCAGGTCCTTCACACTGGTAAGAAGCCCTATAAGTGTAATGAATGTGGGAAAATCTTCTGTTCCAACAGAAATCTCATTGACCATCAGCGAATCCACACTGGGGAGAAGCCTTATGAATGTATTGAGTGTGGCAAGTCCTTTAGTCGAAGTAAGTGTCTTATTCGACATCAGAGTCTCCATACTGGGGAAAAACTATATAAATGTGGTAAATGTGGGAAAGCCTTTAGTCAGAACTCTCAGCTCATTGACCATGAGCGAATTCATACTGGAGAAAAACCTTTTGAATGCAGTGAGTGTGGTAAGGCGTTCAGTCTGAGTAAATGCCTTATTCGGCACCAGAAACTTCACACAGGTGAAAAGCCCTATAAATGCAATGACTGTGGAAAATCATTCAATCAAAACTCTCATCTTATTATACACAAGAGAATTCACACTGGTGAGAAACCTTATGAATGTAATAAATGTGGGAAGGTCTTCAGCTATAGCTCCAGCCTTATGGTTCATCAGAGAACCCATACTGGTGAAAAGCCCTATAAATGTAAAGATTGTGTAAAAGCCTTTAGTGACAGTTCACAGCTTATTGTGCACCAGAGAGTTCACACTGGGGAGAAACCTTATGAGTGTATTGAGTGTGGGAAAGCGTTTAGTCAGCGTTCCACTTTTAATCACCACCAGCGAACTCATAGTGGGGAGAAGCCCTCAAATCTGCTTCTGTCGATACCTTAAGGCATGAGTCCCTGAGGCAGAACAAGAAACTCTGGATTAAGTTTGTTTATAAGAAGGATGTTCATCCTGTTCTCCCCTTGGAATCATTACTCAAACTCAACCATTGCTTAGTGCTTTCCATTTGGTCACTAAGGTGGAGAGTCAGAATCTTAGTAGCCTTTCCTACCACACAGTTGGGAAAGTAAGGACCACACATTTTATATACCACTTTCTCTTTTTGTTTTTTAAATTATCTTAAAATCTGTAGTTTTGCATTCCACAATTAGACTTTGTGTTTTTCAAGCACAGAGGTAATTACACCTTTACTTCATTCTAACTTCTCCGTTTCACCATTTAGACAAAGATATACTACAAGACTCTTCATCTGTCCTACCTCTTGGTTATGGGTCTCTATATTTACTTTTTTCCTCTCTCATATTTATTTTGTTTGTTTTTAGACAGTCTCCCTGTAGCCTTAGTTGGTCTGGAACTCCCTATATTGACCAGGCTGGCCTTATCTCACAGACATCCACCTGCCTCTGCCTTCCAAGTGCTGGAATTAAAGGCATGCACCACAATGTCTGGCTCTACATTTATTTTTTAAGCTTATCACTGTATAGCTTCTTATCACTTATGTTCCCTCAAAAACCTCTTTTTCTTTTTGTTGGTTAATTTGTGTTTCTCCATAACCTTGAAGATCCATCTCACTTCTTAAGGACTTTCTTCTTTAAGTGCTTTTCCCTCCTAAAGCTCTGTTGATCTGATTTCCCTGCTTTGAGTTAGCTGGTGGTCCAAGGTACAACTGTTTAAATCCCTTCTAAGTATGTGTATACTTTTATACCAACTTGTATTTTCTTTGTGTGTGTGTGTATATAATATTATCCATAAATTATGTACAAATTCCCCTCTCCCCTAAGCTCCTAAGGTTGGAATGCATCTCTGCATGTGATATAACATACAGTGGCCTCATTGATTTCTTCTATAGATATTCCTAGAAGTTTAACTATTGGTATATCAGCCTCAGAAAGCTGATAGATGTGTGTGAGCAGGAGCGTGTGTCAGTTACTTTTATAGATACTATTTTTGTGCCTACTGAATTGAGTAATCGTGTCCCACTGATGTGTACATTGTAGTACACATTGAGTTTAGTTCTGAACTTGACTGCATCTTGGTTCTTCAGTAAGCAGGTTAACAGCACAGGCAAAATTTACCACAAAGGCATGTTGACTTTGACTTCCATGGCTATACTAGAGTTACTGGTGTGTACCCCCACACCTGGCTTTTTATGTATATGCTAAAAATCTAAACTCGGGTTCTCATGTATGTGTGGCAAGCACTTTACCAACTGAGCCATCTTCCCAGGTCAGTGCATGCATTTCTGAAAAATATTCTTGAGGAAAATGTGAAGATGTTTTCTGTTCTAGCATATAGTTATAGCTCCATCACGAAATTCATAATGTAGAAGGATATTCATCTTGATGTGGTGGTATATGCCTGTAGTCCCAGCACTTGTGAGGCAGAGGCAACTGGATCTCTGTAAGGTCAGGGTCAACTTTGGTGATCTACAAAGTAAGCAAGTTCCAGGAAGCCATGTGAGAACCTGTCAAGAAAAAAAAAAAAAAAAAAAAGATACAAGTAAAATAATGTAACAGAACTTAACATTTATGTAAAATTTTTTTTGAATTCACATTTATTTGGTTTGTGTGTGTGTGTGTATACTCATGTGGAGGTTACAGAATAGCTTGCAGGAGTTGGTTCTTCTACTGTGTGGGTCTTACAGACTCAATTCATGTTGTCAGGCCTGGTCATAAGTGCCTTAACCTGCTGAGCCATCACACCAGTCCCCAATTAACTATTTTTTTAAATTTTATTTTATGTATATGCATGTGTTGCCTGCATGTACATAAGTGCACCCGTGTCCTGCAATGCCCTCTGAGGTTAGAAGAGGCTGTCAGATTCCCTGGAACTGGAGTTACGGACAGTTGTTAGCTGCCATGTGGGTGCTGGGATTCGAACCCCAGTCTTCTGCAAGAACAACCAGTGTTTTGTAACTGCTGAGCTATCTCTCCAGCCACGTGTGTGTTTTTTAAGATTTCGTTTATATGTATGAGTGTTTTGCATGCATGTGTGTCAATGCACCACAGAAACAAGAAGAGGGCATTGGGGGAATTGGAACTGGAGTTATAGTTGTGAGCCACCCAATGTGGATGTTGGGAACTGAACCTAAATCTGTCTTTGTCGTAGTAGTAGAAGTAGTAGTAGTATTGTGTTATTCTGTGTATGTGCTGTGTGAGTATAGGTATATGTGTGGAGGTCAGAGGAGAACTTGGTGGAATTGGGGTCTCCTACTTTTATGTGAGTTCCTGGGAGTTGAACTCAGGCCACCAGGCTTTTTTGCAAAGCACCTTTACCCACCAAGCCATCTCATTAGCCCCTTTATTAATTACTTTTAAATTGTCATAAAATACCGTGATCTCAAGCAACTTAGAAAAGTTTATTTTGTCCTACAGTTCCAGAGGGATAAAGTTCATCATGGTGGGGAAGACATGGCAACAGGCAGGCAGTGTAGCACGACAGGAAACTGGATGAGCACATTTCATCCACACACAGGAAGTAGAGAGAAATAACAAATGAAGTGAGGCTATGAACACTCAAAGCCTGCTCCAATGACGCACTTCCTCCAGCAATACTCCCTTCCTAAAGGTTCCATAGCCTTCTCAAATAGCACCACCAACTGAGATCAATGGTTCGCTGGGGACATCTTACTTATTCAACCACTACACTCCACTCCAGGCCCCCATAAGTTTATGGCCATCTCATGATGCAAAATACATCTAACTTCAAAAGTCTTCATAGTGCTTAATAGTATGAACACTGTTCCAAAGTCCAAACTCTTCTGAGACTCAAGGCAGTCTCTTACATGTCACTCCCTGCAATATAAAAAGCAAATCAAGTATTTCCAATATGCAGTGTCATTATATATTGCATCCCCAAGAGTGGCTCTGTAGCTTAGTTGGCTAAAGGGTCTGTCTCATATTGCATCCCCATTCCAAAAGGGAGGATTGAAGTCATAGTAAGGAAATATTGGACCAAGGCAAGACAAACCCAGCCAGGCAGACAACAAATCCTGTACCTCCATGTGTAGTATCCGGAGCTTCAGTTTCAAAGGGCTTAGGTGGCTGTGCCCCCTCCAGCTTTGCTGTCTGTAGCACACATCTCTTTGTTTGGTTCTATTCCGTGTATGCAGCTCTCTTTAGCAATCACCACATGGCTCTGGCATCTCCAGTATCTAGGGGTCTCTATTGCAAACCAGGCTTCATCACAGCTTCATATGATGTCCTCTGAGGGACTCCTTGCAGTGACTCTAGTCCTGCCATACAAGCCTGACTTCAGAGACTTTCTGAAACCTCAGAGGAAGAATCCATGACCCTCAATCTTGCATCTTTCTTGTCTGCAAAACCAACACCATGTGAATGACATTGCCAAATTTGGTTAGTAGTTTAGGATAGACTCTGTCCCTCTTGGACCACAGTTGCAGCAGCCTATGTATGCTAAAGCTGTGAAAATTTTCCCTAGGTAGTTTCTTTCTAGGAACTACCCCTTAGACTTTCTTCTTTCACAAGTTAGAGGTTTAGCTGGATGTCCTCTTCCTTCATGTAGGAAACCAGGATGCCAGGCCCTAGGGTGAGGTGAGCCTAAAACTTACAGGTCCAGGCTGCATTTTCTGCTAAAGGGAGGAGCACTGAAAACAGTGGCTCTGATAGTCCCTGCCTTGCAGAACACTGCTGGGCTGGCAGGAGGAAGCGGCCTGGTCGTAATTGCACGCTCCCTGCTCTGCGGGAAAGAGTCTTGGGAAACAGTGGCTCTGATAGTCCCTGTCTTACAGAACACTGCTGGACTGGCAGGAGAAAGCGGCCTGGTCGTAATTGCACGCTCCCTGCTCTGCGGGAAAGAGTCTTGGTCAACAACCCTTAGCTCATCTTGTCCTGAACAAACAACTCAGCTATCCCTGGCTAAGAGATTAGGCCAGGTTAAAGGTTTACTCCTGAGCTAAAAGCTAAAAGTTCACCATGCTTTTAGCTCTAAGAAAGAAAACATTGTAGCCAATAAATTACTGGGTGGGCATTGATAACCATGAGTAAAAGTTTAAGAATCCTTCTGGCGCCAACTAACAGACTAAATGTCCTGTTTCTTTGTACCCTAAATCTTTGTATGTGACTGCCATATCCCACGTGACTGCTAGTTCCTTGGGATGTATAAAAACCACCTGAATTTTAAAATAAATTGGCCTGCTGGGAAGACACAGGTCCCAGAGTTTATGACTGCCAATCAGACCCTCTGCCCCAAAGCCAGTAGGTCCCCCACTAAGCAACGCAAACCTGAGTCCCGGCACTTCAAGTCACCTTTCCTATTGTTCTAACCTAGAGCAAGGGGCATCTTTTTAATGGCACTAATCTCTTTAACAATTATAGCCTATTTTTTGGCACATGAATTGACTACAATCTTAAACTTCCTAATGCTCTTTTCCTCTCCAAATTGCTCATTTTTATTTTTTTGTGCCCTAGTTTGTACTAATTTTCCTTGTAGACCTCCATAAAGGTAATCATTAACTATACCACAGACACAACATTATGTTGTCTTGAAATTTCCTGTACCAAAAAATTTAGTCTATTATTATTATTATTATTATTATTATTATTGGGCCTTTTTGAGACAGGGTCTCTCTGTAGCGCAGTTGGCTGGTAACTTGCTATGTAGACTACGCTGGCCTCAAACTCATAAAGATCAGTCTGCCTCTGCGCCTCCTGAGTGCTGGGATTAAAGGCATGTGCCGCCATGCCCGGCTAGTCTATTATTTTTTAATTTAGCCTTACAAATTCTCATGATAAAGGCAGAATGCAGCCAGATTCTGTGCCAAAATATCACATGAATGGCTACTGTTTTCAATAGAGTGCTTTTTCTGCTCTGAAACCTCACAAGTCAGGCCTCTGCTGTCTGCATCTCTCTCTCCCTCTCTCTCTCTCTCTCTCTCTCTCTCTCTCTCTCTCTCTCTCTCTCGTGCTCTCTACACACACACACACACACACACACACATGCCCACGTGTGTATCTTCCTCTCAAAACAGGATCTCATTATCTAATCCTAGCTGCTTAGAACTTACTATGTCGTCTGAAGGAAATTTGCACAACATATAGGACCCCTGATCACAGAACATCTGGTCCCATGACCATCCAGTTCTATATTGGTGACTTCCTCTTTCCCCCTGAGTATCCAGACCTGCCACATGGATGACTCCCAAGAGAGACCACAAGAATGGCCAAAAATAAGTCTCCTCTGCAGCCCCTATCTCCTCTGTAGCAACTGACCCCCCTCAAAATCCCCTGTAGTTGCTGCTCATACATAGACTCTGACCAGCTTCTATGCCCCTCGCTGTGCACAGTCTAGTCTGTTAAGGTCTGATATGGTCACTTTCTTTCACTCCTATGGTTCCTGTATTCTGTGCGCCAAAACCTAACAGGCCACACTTGCCTTAAACTCACAAAGATCCCCCTGCCTCTGCCTCCAGAGTAGTGGGATTAAAGGCATATGACACTATAGTGTTTTGATAAACCTAACCAAGTGGATTTAATGTATTTGGACCATTTTGTTGGGGAGTTTGGAACTTTGGGCTGGCAGCGGTGCTTAATGGGACATTCTGCTAGGAAGTTGGAAGAATGCTAAGAGACAGGACAGAGGTCAGGAAAGGCTGGTCAACATGACCACTCAGCCTGGAAATAGAGATGCCCAGCTTTCCCGTGCCTAGAAGGGCCACATCAGAAGGGGCTGGTCAGCCTGAAGGCTCAGCCCAAGACACAGAGAGGCAGAGACCTCCCCGTGGCTAGAGGGGTAGGAGGAACTGGGCGCGAGTCACTGACGCAGCTCCTCAGCTCACCCGCTTTGTTCTAAGAAGTGTGAGGGTTCCGGCTTGGGGGGAGAGGGGCGCAGTCCAAACTCAGGCAGCCAGGCCGACCCCCCCGGCTGCTGTCCGCTCACGGGCGGATCAGCCGCCCTGGTACCGTGAACTCGCCTTTGTCTTGAGCCTCCTCTTGTAGCACTTTGGGGGTGACCAGACTTTGCGATCCCCAGCTCTAGCTGGTGGGTAAGGCCGTTGTGGTCGAAATCTTTCCAAGCTTTCCGAGGACTTCCCAACTACAGAGTATTTATTTGACTGCTTTCACCAGAGTAATCCTTGCTGTGTCACCAGTGAGGACCCAGGGGCTGGGGATTGCTCGGAAGCTTGCCTAAGAATGTTGTCATTCGTTCCTTCAACATACATTACCATTACTTAACTCAGGAATGTGCTAGGCACTGGGGGTACAGCTGTATGCAAGGCAGATGTTCTGACAGGGAAGAAATAGAACAAGTTTGGAATGAAACACTGAACATCCTTCAGAAGGGGAAACAAAATATTTTGAGGCCTAACAGTTCTAAGAAATGAGTAAACAGGAAAATATAGTGTCCCTTTGACCCTTTGAGGCTTTTATGTCTCCTGGTCAGTCTTCCCCCCCCCCCC